CCTTCTGACATATCATTGACTATTTAGCTACAGTATATGGTCTTTCTCAACATCTACTTAACTTTACAGTTCATACCCTCTAGCTGTGTGGACTGTAAAGTCATCCCCTGTCACCAAAGTGATATTCAGTGTTGTCAGCATTTACATCGCTAGCTAATTTAAATATTTATTTGGTAATGTTAAGTTTGCCATTAATGGTGTTCCTTAATATCCGCATACTCTGTGTATGACTTTGCCGAATGTTTAGCCTCAGGATTTGAATACAGAAGGTTAAACGTCATTTTTGAGTTCTTTCCCAAACATTAATGTTACTGGTGTGTTATCTACAGCTTCGTATATTACAACTGATGGGTAAGATCTTGAACCAATGTTTTCTAGTGTTCATCCACAAAAGCAGCTGACTTAAAAGTGTACAGTTGTATCTCTTTAAAACTCTAGCAGGATGAAGAACTGATATTCTGGTCTTTTTTATTCCAAGCAGTTGACGTATCAACACAAAAAGTCATATCCAAAGTTCCATTCCTGATCTGAGTGAAGTTCGATAGACATCCCAAATTTTGAAATAAATTAATTGACAAGCTTTCTTCTAGAGTTTCTGCTTCCTGGATAGGAACAGCATATGTTTCTGGCCATTTGGTGAAATAACTTATCACTGCCATAATGTATTCATTCACACTATTATTTGTGGTAGAAAAACTCATCAACAACAACTCTCTCAAGGGTTTGCTTCAAACCAATAATGCTGTAGTTATCCATGATGTTTTCTCGTGGATCTTTTCACTCACAGCATAGTTCACATGACTTACACCAATTATCTAAAGATTTCCGGTACCCAACTCAACAGAAGGATTCTCTTACTCTCTTCTTAGCACTTAAGTGTTCAGCAGTTAGAAGGCTGTGGAGATGATATTGCCCATGACTGTAAAAGAACCAACTGTAATAATAATTTCTGTCATCTGGTGTATTTCCATTTCCAAAATAACAAGCTTTCTTCTAGTATATCTTTGTCTATGTTTATGTCGAGCACGAGCTATACCAAAAATTATTTTACAAAATGGCAATAATAAGAGAACAGTCTAAGAAATCCTCTTACTTCGCTTTTTGTAGTGTTGAGCAATTACTAACAGATACAATCTTCAACGAGTCTGTAGATAATACTTCTCCATTGAGTATGTGTCCCAAGAAACTCAAATGTTGATGGAACAATTCATACTTTTGGGGATTCAACTAAAGGTCCTCTTTCTTCAGCCGATTCAGTACTTTTCTTCGTCCATTATAGGCATTCACAGATCTTCTCGTTTGTAATTTTGTCATTCAAGAAGATAAGTTTTTGAAATATTTAGCAGGTACATTACATATTCCAAAGGGTAACACAATATATTGTCACAAACAAGTTTTTGCAATAAAGGCTGTTTTATCTCTACTTACACTCGTCACTATCTACTCTTCAGATCCAATCTTTTAAACCACTGTAAGGCCTCCAGAGCTTTGATCACACAACTTCTGTAAAAGATGTGGTAAACTCCTTTCATGGAAACATTTGACATGACTTCCTAAAATGTTTCTCTAAGGTGACTACTTCTGATATTTTTTAATGAGGAATTACTTCTTGTACAACTTCACATTTTGCAATATATTCCATCTAGATTTCATGGCCCTAATGATAAAATTTATAATCTTCACATCCACGAATTTTTCCAACCAATAATTCCCTAGGACACATTGGAGTGGCATAAGAATTTTACTTCTTGGTAAAAATAACTATCCTCCTACTTTTCACTGGAAATTCAACCTTCTATATTTAATTGTTGTTAAGGACACAGGGATTTTCTGGTCATAGACTGTGAAACATCTTGAAGCAATGTAACCTCACATCCAAATTTTTGCATGAAGTTTATTCTGAATAAACACTCTTCCTCAATGTCAATTACCCACATAATACTTAGTGTAGAGAGGTTTCTCACAATAAGGGTGACTTTCAAATTTCCCCTTGCTGGAAATTTATGCCCTCTCACTGTTCTGCTTTATCTCCTTGTTCATTTGTGGAGGCAATTTCCCACCTTTCATTACCAAATTAGGTCAAACAACTCTAAGCCATAGAACCAGTATCAATTGTTTTTTCTTTTTAATAATAAATTTATCTCAATTGAGATGGATGTAATATTCTTAGCTGAACTTCATCCTACAAGTCCAACTAACTACTGTTTGTGATGTCAGGCTAGCTCTTTGTTTCCTTGTTCTGGCTGGGCATCATCTCCTTGGTTTTTTATAATTTGTTGATTTCTCACAGTCCCAGCTATAAGGTCCATTTTTCCTACACTTATAACACACATTTTTTTCTGATATTCTTTACTTGGAGTTTTTAATTCCTACAGGATTTTCTTTGAAGTTCCTGCCAATATGTCATTTTAAGTAAGTTAAAACACTCATTGTCTTTCCACTTACTTCAATTCCAAGTAAACAGCTGTCTAATTATTCCTTTGATTTCTTCTAGATTTCCATCATATATTACTTGACCCGGGAGTATCACAATTTCTCAATGGTGCTTTTAGTTGTTTATCTCCAACATTAATTGATTCAATTTCTATCGCCAACTGGAAAACTTCATTTGAAATATACATCTACTATTTTATAGCCTAATTTGCAAATACTCATCTAAGTAGTAGTCATGTGCCAATGAATCCATCATTTCATATATAGCATCTGTATTAGCTTTTCAACATCTTCTGCAAGTTCAGCAAATGTTTCATCTTTCTTCTGTCCTCTCCTCCTGAACTTTTCTTTGGAAACTTCCCTCTGATATGTCACTGCAAACCTGTTCTTTAAGGATCCATCAATGCTTGATAGTTATGACTTTCAGCTGGAAGGTTGTTTAATGTTATCAATATTGGTCCTCATAAGAAGCAAGATGACTATTTTTCTTCTGTCCTCTCCTTCTGAACTTTTCTTTGGAAACTTCCCTCTGATATGTCACTCCAAACCTGTTCTTTAAGGATCCATCAATGCTTGATAGTTATGACTTTCAGCTGGAAGGTTGTTTAATGCTATCAATATTGGTCCTCATAAGAAGCAAGATGACTATTTTTCTTCTGTCCTCTCCTTCTGAACTTTTCTTTGGAAACTTCCCTCTGATATGTCACTGCAAACCTGTTCTTTAAGGATCCATCAATGCTTGATAGTTATGACTTTCAGCTGAAAGGTTGTTTAATGTTATCAATATTGGACCTCATAAGAAGCAAGATGACTATTTTGTTGTTCACTATTCCCTCTATTCACTTTAGAAATTATTTTGAACTGAGTTGGTATGTCTTTCATGGTACTTTTCTACCAAAGTCTATTGGTTTCTAGATTGGGTGATATTATTTAACCCAGCTTGCCAAGTTCTTTAATTTGATGTGGAAGTACTACCTGTACGCCTTCACTTCTTTCAAGGTTACATTCAGAGTTGACTTAGACTTCATGATTCCTATATACTTCTACAAATGGCACAGCAGTAGTGGTAACAAATATAAAACAAATAGGTTCTCCTATTCCATATATCATAGTAAAGGTGTTTGACTCTTGTCACTGATGCTCTTTTCTACCTTGTTGATTTTGCTATTATGATCTTTTTTGCACTTCATTTATATCCTTTGGTTTTTCACTGATGTTTTGCACTTCTTCAACCTTGTCACTAGTCTTTCTTCACTTCATAGATGTCTTTTTGTACTACCTCAGTTATGCTGTTATAATCTTTCCCAATAGCTTCTTCAATCTTGTTTTCAATATAATTAATTCTTTTTTAAATATCTTACATCTTTAGTCTTTTAATTTTTTGTCTCTTTTTGTAGATCTTTTAATTTTTTGTGTTTTTCTTCTATATTTTCCTTTCTTTTTCTTGTAATTTTCTGTCTCTTACTTTGTCCCAGATATGAAAGTTACTTTATAGGATGTAAATTGTCTATGAAATCCAGCAAAATGAAGATATTTGTACAGAATGAATGAGTTGAACTACAGATCTGAGCTCTCCTTAAAGTTTTAGGTACTGGATGTACTGGTAATGCACGAGTGTCTGAAAATACCTCTCAAAGTTTAAAAGAACCTAAAGGCTACCATGCCAACATCTCACTCTAGAACATCCAATGATCTTTTATTTTTTAGTGGACTTGCATATGACTATTGTGGGTTGAAATGCCATCCTATAATACTGCATTGAATAATCACTTCTCCTTGAAGGTTCACACACTCCTTTAGTTATCTTAACTCCAACCAGTTAGCTGTTGTTTTTTTTGTAATAGGTGATATGGTATACAAGCAGGACCGGTCAAGGTCAAAATTACCAACAACAGTGGTAGCTGCTAACCTTTATAAGCTCCATGAAACAGTGTACCATAGTTTTCACAAGCAAATTCATTAGGAATGGGCCCATACTAGATTAGAGTTTACTTCCAAATTGGTGCAATATATATATATATATATGCTATATGATAAGAAGTTCTTCAAATTTTCGGGTTTTTCTTTAAAGAAAGATAACATTCTGAGGCATTAATGCTTTTAATATAAATTATTTATTTGGTGTTAACATATTTCTTCAATAATTTTCTTAATTAACATTGACATATCTGATCCACTTTTGTAACACTCACTTCAATTTACACATGGGCATGTACACTTTCGGTGAGGGATACCACTCACTGGAGAACTCTACCTTTACCATACCCCATCTGAGATTTTAAAATTCTCCCTACATTACGACTCCCACAGACATGAAAGTTTTTTTTTTTTTTTGGAAAGGCAGGGTAGTTATACTATGTAACTTGAACCTGAACCAGAAGTATCTCCAATCAGATGAAACCTACAGTTGAGTTTAATAATAATTTGAAACAGCATCAGATCACCATGAAGTTGTGCAAAGAATGCCTGATGTAATTTCAGCTTTTCTCATATTAAAATAAGAATAAATACACACATCTTGACGGCAAAAAAAAAAAAAAGCTATTTATTTTGTATTTAATAAAACTTGACATCCCCCTCCCCCATGTTATCATCACACATCAACTGTTTTATACCGATATTTGTTATTTTTTAACATTGTAGAGTTGTGATCCCATTGAATAATAACAACAATACAGCCATAATCTATGGTTGAATTCAAACCTATCTTTTATCACAACATTTACGATAATTTTTTCACATGGTTGTAATCATTACAAAGCAAAAACCAAATAAGAGTTTTATTCAGAAAAGTATTATTTTTAATTACAGAGACAATTGGTCTTACACTTTTTTAAATACAAGAACAAGGATTCTAACACATTTGTTCCTACCAACCACAATTAATACAAAATTTGATTCATTTACACACACTCAGTGTGAAACTACAATGATAATGAAACAATTGCATTTTCGATTCTTTAGGTTTGGTATTTTACATTTTCAAGTAGATTAGATAATCAAAATACATAAAATTACCCAAATTAAAAAAACACAATTCAATAAATAAAAAAGCAAATATCAAAATAATTGCTCTAAAGCAAGAAAAACACATCATAAAAATGATAAAGCTAAACAGACAAGTGATATTTTACACTAACTGAATGTATCTGGGCTACTAATGTTGACAGAAAATTACAAACTCATGATTTTAGAAAAATTCAGCTGTACCAAAGATTGACAGATCTTACTGACCAATCCCAGAATTTTTAGGCCAATCAAAGACATGGTCCACCAACAACTGAGATGGACAATGCTGAAGTTTTAATTTTGGTTGGTTGCCTTTACAGTTAGTAACTAATACTAATTTTGCTGTAAAAAAGTTTACAGCATGTTTCATTACAAATAGCAAATGCCAATATTTCAGAAATAATTTTATGACAGACCCCCTGGGGCACATATGAAAACAGAGCTTGAATGAGCTAAGATGTACAGAAAACAATTAACAAGATGGCTTGTTTTTGTTAGGCTTTTTTAAAATATTCACACAAATAAATAAAAAAAGGACCAAAATTATCTTGCATCATACACTATACCTTCAATTTCTGTACTTTTTCTTTATAATAATCAAAACTAATCACTAAGCCACTGATAACAAATACAAGTTTTGTTTTAAAAGACTTCCGATTAAACATAATTAGCGTGAAACAAATAATTATCAAAAGACAGAGAGAGAGAGAAGACTGAAGTCTGTCTATCTTGAGAGCTTAGCAAATTGATACTTAAGTGTTCACCAAGCATATGCACAGTTGCATTTATTTAAACAAATACTCTAACCTCTCTATTTATTCAATGGGAAACATTAGAAACATCTTGCCTGCTTGCTATTTTCTTAGAAGCAAATAACTGTACACGTATATATATACATGTGTGTGTACAAGAAGTGTATTGTAACTGAAGCCAAGCACTTTACAGTGAGGAGGAGGGGGATTTGTGATATTGCACCAACAAATAGGAAGTTATATAAGATGTTCAAAGTTTGATTTCTGCCTGTTCTATTAATTTCAAGGAATTATTGGGAAAACTGAACACTAAAGACATGACTACAAACTCTTCTTGATCTTAGTAATAGTGTTTTATGCATAAGTGCACAAATTCTGACACCAGGGACGGAGAAAATTGCTTTGTAATGCATCTTGGAAATGTAAACTAAAATTTCCATCAGTTACCTATTAATCCTGTCCATTGTTGTATATTCTATCAGTAAAATTGATATATTTTGTCTGATATTTTACTTCATTTTGACACTACAGAATCTATGCTTTTTCCTGTGGTGCCGTGGGCAGAAATATTCTCTTCCATTTTACAGAATTCACCATACGGCAATTTGACTTGGATGCAGTTCCAGCTATCTTCAAAATAGTGTATTACCCAATACCTCATGGTGGGAAAAGAGCAATTAAACCATCATGGACAAACCAATACAATGAAGAAAGCATCCAAATGCTACTACAATTAATAAGTAATAAATGAGAACATTAGAAATTCCGAATTTTTAGTTTATAAGAGGACCCCCATTTTTTACAAATGGTTGGGTCCCTAGGACTCAAAAAAATTAAACTACACAAACACCATGAGTTATAACAAATGTTACACAAAAAATTGTGTACTTAAAATTTACCTAATACTTTCATAAAATCAAATATCATGCAAAAAATAAAACAACTCCATATCATTTTTAAGGTTGACTTGCACACAACCAAAGAGAAGTGTATTATAGATATATACACAAAGAAAGGCAGAAATGCATGCTTTCTTCCTAAAACACATTTCAAGAATTATTTATTAATTAAAAACTTCATAACTGTTCAGAAGCTCATACATACAATTCCACATATGAGCTAATGAAACTATGTTTCACAGAAACAACTATTCATCAAATACTGAATTTCTTGATAGTTCAATTACAATCATGCATTTTCCAGATAAAAATGTACAGAATGAGCATAGAGTCATCATACATCTATAGCTATATAACAGTCAAGTGAAAAACTGTAATAAAACACCTTCTATAATTAATGCTTGCAAGTTAATATATTTTTTGCAAAATATGTGAAGCATTATCCGTAAGTCAAATATGACAATCAACCAAAAATGTGATAATCACACTCTTACATGCTTCCTACTTAAGTTATCAATAATAGATGTTCTTCCAAAAGAATTTCATACTCAGTACAATTTAAGAGCATTCTATATGTTTGACATTCTTATTACATTAATTTGCAAAATGATAAACTAACAGCACTGCATAACAACGGGCATATCAACAACCCTTGATTTTTAACTAATGGCATGAGTATTAAATGCAAATGGTAAAGAAGATTTCATATTAATTTCTAATTTATTCAACAGAATATCTAATTTGCCTACTTTCATACCTGTCCCAGGGTTTTTGACAATTCTGATTCATAAGTATGCTGGTTTCCTTTCAAGTTTTCAATCTACTACAGTAAGTACACCAAAATCAATTATTTTTGCTAATTGAAGTACTACACTTTGCAGTTAAGTGCTTACATTAAAAGAATCTTCAGCACAATGTCAAATATGTAGAAATTAAATATCTTGAATTAATTAATTCTGATGCTGTTAAAAAAAATATATTTAGTTGATTCAAATTTTGTCACACTGATTCAGACACTATTAAATAGATTTTAACACATTTATAAACACAGACAAGGATAAAGATAATAAATAATTTTCTATTAATACCTTAACCGATAATATATTCAACCATAACCCATTCACTGCCGCTGGGACGTGTATCTCCCAGTGCACTGGGAAATATACATACCAGCCGCAGTGAAAAGGTTAATATTGTTATGTTAAATAGAGTCCAAAAATCACTAGCTTAAAAAATTAAAAAGTTTGTGTGTGAAAAGTTTATAACTAGGATGTTTAAAAACTGAATATTTGAGGGGGGGGGGGAATACACAAAATCAATGTTGTACAAAGAAATATTTTATATTGTTTATTTAGAAATAATATTCTAAACATCAAATATTTCTTCACATAGATGTAGCTTTCATTCTCAAGTTTCTAAACTGCTGTGAACAAAAGTAAAGTTTTCTATAAATAAATTACTTAAATGAGTTTTAGATAATTCAAAACAGATGACACATTAAAATGAACTTACACAAACATTTAGCTGAAATCTTCATTCTATGTGGTGTCTGTGGGCTATGTTACAGTATTTATGGGTGACTGATCACACAGTAAGTAATATCTATGCTACATAATCAATATCATGGAGGTCTTTACGAGTTTCCTTCCTTTTCAATATTTTAGTGTAAAACAAGAATAAGGATAACACTTTTAAAAGGTAAAAAGCATGTATTACATATTTCATAATGACATGGTAACAAAGCCCTGAGACACCCTGTAAATAATTTCACACACTTTTCTTAAAACGTGACATCCCATGCGAGTTCTTAGCTAACTTAAAATACCTATAGTCATGTGGCTAAACAATGACCCAAAAGTATAAGCTCTTTTAAGGGTTTAGAAAATTTTGGATTCTATGATCATTAGATTTTGAATTACTTTGTAGTGATCCAGCATACTTACTACCTTATTGTGACCCAGACACATTATTCTATTTGGTTTAGGTGAGAATGTTGGAACTGAAAAAGAAAATGCAACTCTTAAGAATATATTTTAATTTTCATAAATCAGCTGAACAGTAAATTACATAAAAAAACTTACACAAGATTGAAGTTAGTACTTTGTCTACACAGAACTATATACATTTACACTGCATGATATACTTATACACACAAACTGTAGGCTATGTCTAAAATATATGAATAAAACTATCACTTTCTAGTTTTTAAATCTACAATAGTATAGAAGACATTTTGTGACATTAAATTTTTTCAACTAACCTGCATAAAATAGATGTATGCCAGAGCCAGTACTCTTAAACAAAAAAAAAAGTTTGTTTTTGATATCTGCATAAAGCTACACCACAGATAGTTGTGCTGATCATTTCTAATTTTGAACTGACAGAAAGGAGGGGAGGCAACTAGTCAATAGCATCCACCACCAACTCTTGGGCTAGTCTAATCAAACAGTGGGATTTATCCATTGGACTTGTAATGCATTCATGACCCCAAAATGCAAAATCACAATTTTGCAGTAACAGAATGTAAACCATGAATCCTAAAGTTCAAAGTGTGGCAACTAACAAACAGGCTACACCTGGCCACCACCCAAAAAAAGAAAAACATAACATTAAAAATTAACAACAACTCTGGAAATAAAACCAATATGTTTTTTTTTTCTTATATTTACTAGTGAAGAAGATTTAAAGATTGTTCATCACAGGAAAAAACAAAAACAAATACATCTCAATGTAATAAATTTTAAATATATAATGTATGCATCTTATGATGCTGTATGAGAAAATAATTGGCCACTCACAAATACTTTATGAAACAATTACTGTTAATTCATCAGTATTTAACCTAAATGGATAAGGAATGCCCATTATACATGAAACAAAGAGCTGCTGAATATTTGTCAGTGATTATTCTTGATATGCAACATTTTATTCTTTTATATGGATTTTCCCTATTGTTTAATTTCTTCACATTTAAACAAGATCCATAAAATAATGGCAAGAAGTTGACAATCTTCTTGTGGAGAACACACAGCACATACTGTCCAAAATATTGAACTTGCTTAACAATGGACGACATAACTTGCAAAACAAACTTGAAAAATCTCTCTCTGTGTACATATAAACATGTACAAGCATTTTTAATATTTTAAAAACTAGTGACTGGAGGTCAAAACCTCCATTTTAAAAACTAAAATCAATAAAGAAGATATGGACAGGATTACCCAAAAACATTAAACTCATAACTACCCATCACACTTGTGGAAAACATAAATTAATTTTTGTTTATTCTGTTACCCCAAATTAACACAATTTATTTTCTAAACTCAAAATACTAGAAGGAAAAATGAAAGTAGTCATAAACAAGAACATTGATTTATTTAGTTCTTTGTGAACAGGGATGTAGGTATACATAATTATATAAATACACAGTTAAAAAAGTAACAAAGATGAATATTCAGAATGATTACTTTCCTTCTTGAAATGACAGTTATTGAATTACTACATAAAAACAACAGTTGCAGTTGCAAATGTTCCTCTTTTCAATTTTGTGATAAATTTCATCTAAGCTCATTTAAAAACATACAAAACACTAATATTAAATTAAAATAACGACAGTTTACATAACTGTTTTGATGAATATACATTACAAAATGGATAATTGATAGTTTGCACTTGCACTGTTTTTTATCTCATAAATTGTTCACGGGTTTGGTTCACGAAAATTTCCATTGTTAAAATCATTTTTTATGAAGTATGTTTAAAATAATTATTTTATGAACATACTCTACTTGACATAGTAACTGAGTACACCCACCATATGTCCTTATATTTCTGTTCATTCTTATCAGTGGAGTAATTAATAATTCTATTACACATGCCTGAATGTATAAAACATATATACACCTACACTGATCACTTTATGTTTTGTATACACTTAATGACACTGTCCACATATACACTCAAACAAATTCAAATAACTCTAAAGGTTCAAGTTTGGTATTGCCTTTGGCTTGATTCTGCAAGTGCTTCCATATCATTTAAGGTTTCTGATCTTTCCCAGTGGCCAAAATTTTCTAGGTCTGAAAAATCTGAATCAATCAACTGTGATGAGGCAGATAAATTTTCATATGCTGAACTTGAAGAAACAGGTACACATGTACTATTACTACTGGTATTCCCACCATCTGGCTGATGGTGAGAAGTGGATAAGAAGTACTTCTGCCCAACCGTAAGTGAAGATTCTCCCACATGGTTTTGACTGGTTCCTGTTACTGAGTGATCTTGATCTTTACAATCAAAAGAGGGAAGCATCTGATCAAGATGTTGCATGGTTCCAGCACCAACAACTGGAGAGAAACTGTGTTCAGGCATTGTGTTTTTTGTTATTTCATTGCCATCAAATGACATATTGATATCATCTAACTGTATACTTTGGAAGGTAACTGATTGAGGTTTTTCCTGCATTCTGTTTAATGTTCCTTGTCCAGAAGAGCTCAGTAATTGGTTGCTTTCTTGGGTATTTTGTGGTTGTGTCTGTAATACAGAGGAGGAAAACAAATCTAGTTTTTCCAATTTTTGTCTTTGGAACAAATTCTGTACTCCCGTATTCTTGTTGGGTACTTCAACATTAGAATTAAGTTGCTGGACAGCATGAGGATATGTGTTAAAACCACACTGTTGTGCACCATGGTAATTATTCTGATAATGCATATCTCCTTGACCAGATGACCTTTGTGTTGTCATGTTCAACTGCTGCGTAAAATATCCAGGAAGTTGAAAATTCCCTGTATTATTTTGATCTAAGTAATTATTTTGGTCTAGAGGTGATTCTCTAAACTCTTTTTCCAGGTTTGAATGTAAATTATCCTGGCTAATGTGAGTGCTTTCTCCTGAATCAATTGCTGTGTTAGGCAAATTTCTTGAACATTTCGGTCTACCTTTTGTGTAGGCTGGTAAGGAGATTTCAGTCGTTCTGTTTTGGCTACCTGCATTGAACTGCGACAAATATGGTCTATCAAAACCACTGCCAGAGACTGGTCCTACAGTAGTAGTCTGGCCACATAGGGGAAGTTCTGAGGGATTAGAATACTGATTCCGTAAAATGTCTTGAGCACTTCCTGAGGAAATCTGTTGAAGTTGCTTATGAACTCCATTTTTTTGAAATAACTTAGGCTGTTCTACACCAGGAATGCCACCAATATTAACAACATTTGAATTGTTTGATAGACTGGGATGAGCAGGCGTAATATTGATATTTTGTTCTGTATGAGATGACTTCTTTCTTTCAATAATTTGACTTTCACCTAACAATTTGTGACTCTGTGACCCAGGAAATATCTGGAAAGTGTTACTCATTCCTCCTCTATCAAGCTGACTGTTAGAATTTCTAGGCAGAGAAGAGTATCCACTGGAAACCATCTGATGGAAGACATTCTTGTTTGGAAGGCTAGGAGAAGTGGAGACTGGGTATGGTTGGTCTGACAAAGAGGACACATACTTAGTAAGTGGAACCCCTGGAAAACTTTTGGATGTTGTGAAGGTAGGGCTGCCACGAGATACAGCTGTCAGAGTAGTCCAGTTACTTGAGCTGGAAGTTTTTTTAAGGTAGTCTTCCTCTAAACTAGCTTCAGAACAACTTGAGCTTGCATCATTTGAAACTGGAGCAACCTTTTTGGAGACAACATCTCTCTCTTTTTTCATTGCCCCATCATCATCATCATCATCACTAAGATCAATAACCTCTGGAGGAGATGATTGTAGAGGATTCCTCAGCTGAGCTGTTGAAAACTGTACAGTGCCTCCACATTGCAGGGTTGGTTGAACAATCTGGAATAATAAAACAAAGACAGGAAAAAAAAAGGAAATTATTAAAAGATAAGCTACAAATTTTCTTCATCATTTCCTCAATTACCTAGTTAAAACAATGAAAAATAAAACCCAAGTGTAAATTTCATTACTTCATCTTACAAGCCAACCTATAGCCAAAAAAAAAATCAATGTCACAGATTATTGTAGAAGTGGCAGAAAGCTTACAGGTATATATATATATATATATATATATATATATATATATATATATATATACTTACGTTCTTATTATTATTAGTCGTTACGTACGTAGTACGT